TTTTTTCATTTAAAATCATACTTACAGTCATACTCGGTCTAATAAGTCAAGAAAACTTGTCAGCCTTTCCCAAATACTGTATATATATATAACCAGAAGTATATTAAGCACGCATAGATACACAAAAACTAACTCTAAATAGACATAGGATTTTATAAATTAATTGTTAGTTTGTAAATCCCCTTAACCGATCTAGGCTGGCTAACATTTTATTTAGACATTAAAAATAGTTTCGAATACTACTTATATGTAAAATAAGTAACGTCGTCGATTGAAATGGAAAACACTCTCAGTTGGTTCCTTAACCCATTATTTAGTCAATGTTAAAGGCTTTACATTAGTTCACTAAAACGTATGGCATGGTATATTATTTTGTTGTTGTTGTTTGTTAATTTGCATCTCAGAGTAAATTCCTTTAAACGCTTTATTATATAAACGATACTATTCATAATCTCTTTGAATCCTGCCTTTATATACAGTCTCCGGCTTTGTGACTCATCGACTTTCCTTCGTGCAAGTCTGCTTCCGGTCAGCTCTTCGACTTTATCTATCCTAACCAGTCGAACGTTTATTTATTTTTTGTATTTCAGTAGTACTATGAGTAACGTTTACTTGGCAAAATTTTCATCCGTTATATTTACATTTCTAATGCCAAGTATTATTTTCTTCTTTACCCTTCTCTTCTTCTTCACGTACTCCCCCTTTAACCAACCTTCGTGTGAATCTTCGCATTAGCAACCGGTACCATGGACGTCAACTTCACTATCTTCTTCGTCGCGAGGAGAGTCGGTCCGGTTGCCAAGCCTACGCTATCCTTACACGATGAACGCCACAGCAGTATCCAACGAGCCGTGCCAGCCACAAGTGACCAGTACAACCTCATCTGCCTCTTCTGTGGCAGCAAAGTTGTCCCCTTTCTATAGCGCCAATTGTGGCCAGCACAGCAACAGCGCCCAGGTTTCGAGTGTCAACGAGGCCCGCAATTCATGCGGTCTCGGCGAACCGGGCAAGCTGACAAGTCTACGGGGCCTTTATTGGAACTCGGCCAATTCTGCCAGAGGAAAAGACAACTCAGGCAGTGGAGGAGATGCCAACAACTGTCGCGGCACAATCGTCAACGCGTCGAATCCCAGCAACTCGTCTGGAATGGCAGCACATCCCTTGACTGGCATGCATGCTCCATCGGCATTCTCAACGGTTCAGGCTACACCTTTGCCCGTTTTCTCCGCCAGTTATGAACGTGGACAAACGGCAGCACGAATATACAGTTTGGGCGTACCAATTGAACCTTCAGCATCGAATCCGGCTGCCAAGGGTCGAGCTTCCAGTTCGGGCCGACAGCCAATTCGTGTGGAAGATGTTTCTGGTGGTGCAATAAAAGCATAGTACGTGCCATTGCTCCCCAATTCGCCTAGTTGCAGTCATTTCATTTAGCCGCCCACAGACGATATTTCCACGAAAAGTTGAACATGGTTTTATATTAAAAGTAATTGTCACTCCAGCCTGTACCTCAAAATAGGGTTGCATGTGGTTTCAATCTCAGCTCTGCCTCCTTAGATTTGGGGGGATGAGAAAAATCCCAAAATTGTTTGGGCTCCCAGTTTGCCCATTACGGAACACTAAGTCATGCTGGGGTTTGGACGCTGGTTCGCGAATTAGTGGCCCCATGCTACCAGCACATTTCTCGTAGTCTTGCCTTCACAACGACCTTCTCATTCAGGCAATAATGAACATACACAAACACACAAACACACAGGACATATGTGCATTTAAGGACGAGTCAGACGTCTCCACATTCACACTCAAATTAGGACTGGTCGGACCTCATTTTGGCAAATTTGTCGGAATGTCAAGAGGACCAAAAAGAACGTATTTTCTCCAGAGTCCTCTGCCATAGTAACCATCATAATCTTCAGCCTCGGACAGTGTGTTTGGTATATTTGAAGACGTTTCACCGGCACTGCCAGCGACACGTACCATTCTTAGCATTCACTTATCCTAAATCCTCGTATCACCCTCATAAACATCACAATTTCTGACTTTACTATTTCAACATAATCCAGGCGTACCCTTTTTCAGTGGATTTAGTGAGACCTGCCCACACTCCTCGCTTGCTTCCTCACACCCCGTCCCGGCCGTGCTCAAAGTGTTGCTCCACTTTGGCTCATTTAGTCGACGGTCCTATGCATCCGGCCTCTATCAGATCTTTTTCCTACTTCCACGGTGTACTGATCCCACTCGATCACTGATACCATAGCTCTGCCAGTTGAAGCGTTATAGAGTGATGAAAGACTGGTAGGTGAATTTTCCCA